TATAATATAATATAAGATAATATACGGTGCCTTCTCTCCCTCTTCCAGCTCCGTCTGAATCCAGGCCCCGGAGAAGCGCCGCGGTCTACGGCCGGCGGCTGTCAAAGAGCTGGGCAAGTCAGAGTCCTTTGCTGGGCTCTCCTGGCTGCTTCTGGGCACTTCGGGCTCTAGTCGTTCCAGAACGGGCTGCTTCGGCCTGTCAGGCAGCTCGTGGACTTGGGCTTCCATCTGCTTTGCCTCCTGGATTTGGAGCTCCTCGGGTTCCTCGGACGTCACGGCCTGCTGAACCTGGGAAGGTAGGACTCGCATGGCCTCCTCCCTCTTCAGGAGCTCTTCTTCAGCCTTCCGGCGCTCTGCCTCCTCCTCTTCCCTCTTCTTTGTCTCCTCCTCGGCCTTCCTTCGCTCCTCCTCTTCTCTCTTCTTGGTCTCCTCTTCCGCCTTCTTCCGTTCCTCCCTCTGTCGGGTCTCCTCTTCAGCTTGCCTGCGTTCCTCCTCCCTCCTCCGGTTCTCCTCTTCGGATTTCTTGCGCTGCTCCTCCTCTCGTTTCTTGGCCTCCTCTGTGGCTTTCCTTTGCTCCTCCTCCCTCCTTCTGGTCTCTTGCTCCTCTGCTTTCCGGCGCTCTTCCTCCCTCTTCCTCTCCGCCTCCTGCTTACGTTGCTCCTCCGCTCGCCTGGCCTCACGCTGCAGCTCCTCCTGCTGCTTCCTTCGGAAGGCTTCCTCCTCTTCACGCTTCTTCTCCTCCTGAACAGGGGCGACTTTGGGGCCCTGGGGGCCCTGAAGGTTTCGGGTCAAGCTGTAAGCGCCGGGACGGGAAGGGAAAACGACACGCTCATCTCAAACCTGATCTCCCAGAACTGGAGCTCCAAACCCTAAACCCTAAAGCCTCTTGCGGCACAACATAATACTGCGAACAAATCGTCGTAAGAATCCTCACAGAAGCACAGTCCAACTCTCTCCATGCAAGCCTCGGGCTCACAGCAGCAGCCTCAAATCCAGAATCTCGAAGCCTTCACCAACGAACTCGACCAAAATCAAAAGAAACTCCGAACTCAACCAAAGGGCACAAAAGCTCTGATGCCCAAACCCTCAGCTTTCCTCCAGCTTGCGCTTTCTTTCTGCGGCCAGCCGGCGGTTTGCCTCGTCTATTTCCTTTTGCTTGCGCGCCTGGCGGTTTTGGGTCTGGGGTATAGGGTTTAGGGCTTCAAGAGTTTGCCGGACGCAGGTCGTAAGCTTTCTTGTAGGGTTTAGGGATGAGGGGGTCGTCGATCAGATGAGTTTCTACAGAGAAGAGTTGTCGCTTGAAAACGAGATCTAAGGTAGTTCGCCCCTTGGGGCTTAAACGGACTTGAGTTTCAGGGCCCTGGGTCATTACAGAGGCAAGCCGAGGGTCAGGCTTGGGCTCCGCATCGGAGTACTTGGCACAGAGAGCATGTACTACGAAGTACTACTAGATTTGGGTTTAGGGTTTAAGGTGCTAAGTAAAACTATGTTTGGCAACACTTTCACCGCTTTTTGCAGCGCCTATGTTGTGCAAAAACGAATGCCTAAACTCTGGGCGCCTCTCAAACCCCAGACCCCCACGCCCCCCTGGGGAGCACCTGCTTACATGTAGGAGAGCGCATCTTCCGTTTGACTACGAGAATCCCGAAAAAGTGGGGGGGGATGTTACTCGCAAGCCCAAATACACATGATTCCCCGAAGCATGCTGCGGGGTTTGGGGGTGTGCAGTCTGTAGCACTCGATTGACGGCCCAAGGCCTCGAGTCCTTTAGATGTCAATGAACCCCCAGTTTTGGGGTATATTATGCAATAAATTCAATAAATATAATAAGGAACCCCCAAAATAGTATTGTAGGTATAGTTATTAAGGCCCCTAAAACAGAATCTCCGGAACTCCCGACGCCACAATCGAAGCAAGGCTTCGAAAGCCCAACTCGCGGTTCTTACACGCGAAGTCTCCTGGAGCCCCCCAGCTCTCAGAGCTGAATGTGAGAAAAAAAGGTTCCGACTGCGATGCTGACTATAACAGCTGGGGCTACAAGTGCGCTATGACATCTTTGAATAGTATTTGACATGATGTTCCCACGACTTTCCTGCCGCTCTTTCTCCACAACCGCTATGTGCCACTACCGTCCATTCTCCTCCTTCTCCTCTTCCGCCTTGGTATTTGCTCTACTGCCTACAGCTGCTGCAGCCTCTGCGCCACCATGGCCGCGGCTGTGACTTCGGATTGGACTGCGACGACGACGATGACTGGAAGCAGGTAGTGTTACCATTGCTTTTGATTCCTACGACAACCGTTCCTTCTTCGAATCGTTGCCGCGGCCCCGCGCTTGTGATTACTGTCGGCCACGTCGAGTAATGAACTTTGAACCCGATGAACTTTGAATCCCCCGGGGCCTGTTCGGCTTGCTCCTGTTCCCTGCGCACACGCTCCTGCCGGCGCGACACGGAGAGGTTGCAGGGCTTCGGGCGCGGGGGCACTCAGCCAACGTCCCACTGACTTTCAGGCTTGCTTGTGAAGCTTTCTCGGTTGAAGCTTCTGGTTTAGTTTAGAGGGCCCAAAACTGACTTCTACCCAAACTAGTGTTGAGCAAATAGTGTTCCACAGCGGCTGTTTCGTAATGCCGTTCAGGAGTAGGCCTACTGTACAGTCAAAGGGTGCTAAAAGCTCGCCAAGAACACCTGCGCATCAAGCGGAATGAAGCGAGTGACTCTCGGTGACTGACCTCCTCCTCTCGTTGTTGCTCCTCCTTCTCCATCTCTCTCCGGCGAACCTGTCTCGGTCTAATGTATGGGATTTACATGTAGTTTCGGGACAGCAGGACCTGGGCCTTGTGGGAAACATTCGGTCAGAAGATTCACCTCTTGCGGCGCGTGGCATCTTACCATGAACCCTCCACTTAACCCCAAAAACAGAATCCGTACCCCAATCCCTGTAAACCAAACCCCTTCTCAGACCTCATGCTTCGGCCAAAACGAAGCTTCAGGTGACCGATGCAAGTGGCGGGTGTACTTTACGGTTCGGAATACTCACTAGTACGTATAAGTGGGGGGTATCTTGTTGGCGTTGGGGCTGGCAGCTAAAACCCTACGCTGTACCCTACTCTACATGGCTTCTTCGGGATTTTGGTAGGGTGTTATAAGGGGTGTGATCATGATGCGGAGCTGTGGAAAGGGTCGTAGGCTGTCTGAGCCCATGATCCTTCAAGTATGGTGTTGTGGTCCCTGGTTCGCTGTCACGTTTAGGAACGGTCCTTCCGTGGCTCGGGGTTGGGCACGCCCAGGTAACCGCATCATCATACGCTAGATTCTAGACTCTGCAAACTCGAAAACACTAAAACCGCAAATATTGGCAAATCCCAGACCGTCAAGCAAATTAGCAAGAAGGGGCCCGAATTCCGGCCCCCAATCGATAATCAGTGAGAGAGATGAGGAGCTGCATCAGGTCCAAATCATGAAGGCGTTGTGGATAAACTGGGCCCTAAACTAAAAACCTTTATCCACTGGAATTTTAGGATAGAAGCCGAAAGCCACTTAACAATCCCTGGACGCTACACCCACAACCCCGAAACCAAATAACCCTAAACCCTGACAACAGAGCTCCGAAAAGATCTGGCAATAACATAGCCATGACTACGAACAAGAAGAACCCAAACCCGGCCCTTGAACCGGCCACTCCCAAAGCGCAACCTCGGGGTCGTACATTGAGCTGGAGCCCTGGCCAAGGTTGGGTCGCTTGTGTTTCGGGCATACGGTCCTCGGGGTCTAGGCTTGGAGGGCTGTGCCTTGAGGTCACAGGAAGTTGGCATGGCCCAGCTAATTGAGACGGAAGAGTACAGGGTTAAGGGTTGCCGGAGAATTCTATAGCCAGCCAGTTCGGTGGGCGGTCGGTCCGCAGGTTTTACATCGCTACATGATGCGGCGCTACATTGCTACATGCAAAAGATGGCTGCCAAGCTTAGGACATGGGCCATGCTACTGCTGCGTCCTGTTCGTTGTTTCTCTCTCCCTCTGCTTATCTCACTGTTTCTCTCTTGCTGCGGTGTCGCCTCGAGGTTGTCTTCGCTGAAATCTCCACCCTCCGGAATGTCCTGAAAGATGCTTCGGAAAATAAGGCTTTAGGTTCCAGTTCAAAGGTTAAGGCTTTAGTGGCGCGTAGGCTTTGGATTTAATATAATAGGTCCCCTCTTGTTAGTCCACGCCCTAGTTCTTCGGGTAAGGGGTCGAGGCTTCAGGAGTAAGGAGAAAGGCTCTAGGCTGTAGCATGCGGGTAGTTCTCCGAAGTGGATCCCATTTTCCGGAGCCTGAAAAGCATGTCAGGCTAACCGTGAGGAGCCTGACAATGGACCCTGATTTGGAGAACCTGTCTGTCGGCCAGCAGATTGGAGTCTCTGGCCAAAGAGCAACCCTAAACCCTAAACCCCTAAACCCTAAACCCCTAAACCCTAAACCCTTTGAGTGTAGAGCTCAAAGACCTAATGAAGCCCTGAACCCTAAGACCGCTAATTCTCCGAACTAACCCCAACCCTCAACACCAATCCGAAACAGACCCAAGCTTAATGGCTTTAGGGCAAAGGCCCGGAACCAGATCTCGAAGCTCGACTTCTCAAATAAAACCCCTCAATTCTAAAACCCGAAAACCCTAAAACCCTAAAACCCCAAAGCCCTAAAGCCTTCAACCCCTAAAGCCCTAAACCCGAAAACCACTCCTCTTCCTCAATGTCATCTTCATCTGGGACCTGGCAATGGCCAAGGCCAACTTTTCATGCTTCTGGCTATTAGGGTTTATGCAAGGGTTTACGGTTTTGGGTTAGGGGCTTTGGGGCCGCGGTTTGGGGCTAGCGGCGAATCGGTCCTTGGGCCTCGGCGCGATCACCCATCCCCTGGCCCGAAGCAGTCACGACAACAGAGCCGAGACGAAGGGCTTTAGGGGTATGGGGACGGGACAGGAGGCCAGGATGGGAGGATGGAGGCGTTCACAGGAAGCGGTCTTTCGAGGGTCCTCAGTTTTCACATCTCCAGGACACAGCCCTCAGCTCCCACAAAAGCACGCCCCTCGTACCAGCGGCACGATCATCTTCTTCGAGTCCGCCTGCGAAGGAGGGCGATCGGGCTCGTGTCGGCTGCAAGGTTCGAGGGAGTTGATTTTAGTATATATTATATATTATATAGTATATAGTATATAGTATATAGTATATAGTATATAGTATATAGTATATAGTATATAGTATATAGTATATAGTATATAGTATATAGTATATAGTATAAAAATATATATATATACTATACTATAATATATATGAGAGGCTTGCGGGATTTCGATGCTCCAGCTTTTCGACGTCTAGCTTTAGCCTTTCGACTTAAGGTTCAGTTCCCGTTCTCGCGTCCCCGTAAAACACGACGACCACCTGACTCGGCATGCAACCCCTGAGCAACCCAACTGAGAGGCATCAGCGCTTCGCATAAATCTTGAACTCGGGGCTTAGGGTTTGGGGCGTAGGGTTTAGGGCTTGAGCTTGTCGCGGAGAGAGCCCAAAAGAAAAAATCTCTGTTCGCGAGTAGCTTTCCCAGAAAAAAGCTCCAAAAATCGCCTTTATTGGGCGCAGCTTCCGTTTGAACCCGACATCTAAGATCTTCAAGCTTACCTAACACCCCGAACTGACAAACCCGAAGGGCACGACTTGAGTTGGTCCACAATCTCCGACAAAGAGCAGGCAGAGTCTTGAGCTTTAGCTCAACATACAACAGTAGTAGGCTTCAAGGTTTATAGGGCCTAGGGTTCAGGATTGCAGTTAAAAATTCCGTTGGCCCCGAGATTCAACCTGGGCTCCGAAACCCTAAACCCAAAACCCGAAACCCCTAAACCCCTAAACCCCTAAACCCCTAAACCCCTAAACCCTAAACCCTAAACCCCTAAACCCCCAAAAACCCCTAAACCCCCTAAACCCCCTTTTTAGCCCCAAGCCCTGAAGGGCCCGAACCCAGGCCTGCTGCCGCAAAGCTATCTCCTGACGCCTGGCCAAAGGCCCGGAGTCTAGGGCTGCTGGGTTTCTAAAAAGTAATATAAGGGTTTTTAGGGTTTAGGGTTTAGGGTTTAGGGGTTTAGGGGTTTAGGGGTTTAGGGGTTTAGGGGTTTAGGGGTTTAGGGGTTTAGGGGTTTAGGGGCCTTGCTAATTAGACTACGGTGTTGCGGCATATTATACTAAAGTTATCATTCCCCCCCAAAAAAATAGTAGAGGTAACTATTACGGCCCCTATGCTTAGTGCTTTCTGGCCCGATCCTGCTTTAAGGGTCGTCGAACTCATTCCGGGGGCTTCCTGGGACCCAGCCAGGGGCTACCGTTCTTCCAGTGAAAGATCTCAGTGTTGATGGCCTCTTTCAGGAAACCTCCGTACATAATTACTTCTTCAGCAGCTTCCTGCAAGTGACCTGCATTTTGGGCATTGGGCTTCTTTGTTCTTGCTGTCATTGCCCAAAGCATGCGCAAGGGCTCCGGCAAAATGCCTGAGACCGAAGAGTTGACAAAGGTGCCCCTGAGATCGCTAACCGGCGACACCCTAAAGCCTAAACTCAACAAAACCAAGCCTGAAAGCCTGAAAGCCCCCGAAAATCGAAGGCCCCTCTTAAATACACTCTCCCAGGCTAAAATTTGAAAGATCCCGTGAACATGGGGGCCCCTCCCCTATCTCCCAAAAACCCGGAACTCCAGAAGTCCAAAACTCCCAAAATAGAATCAGCGATCGCCGAAGCTTCGGAATTTTCCAAGCCCCGAAGCCCTATAGAACCCTTAGAGTAACCCGTTTTCGCCCCCTCGTTGAGTCTCTTAGACTCTTCCCCGGCCCCGGGTGGCTCCTGTCCAAGGTGGCGCGCCTTTGCTAGACGGCTTGTGCCAGCTTCAAGGACAAGCGGTTCTACGTGCTGCCTTGAATGAAGGGAGCTAACGCACTTCCAGACCTCCCTGGGTTTAGAGTTTAGGGTTTAGGGGTTTAGGGGTTTAGGGTTTAGGGTTTAGGGTTCAGGGTCTAGGGTCTAGCGTTTAGGCTTTGTAATTTCAGATTCACTGTCATGCGCACCCCATCAAGACGCTCGCTGACATTATGCCCTGGATCCCGTCCTCTAGATCTTCCTGAGCAAAATGTCGAGGGTGTCGGGGCACAATACAGGGGCCTAAATAATTAGAATAGGGTTTATAATTCTAATGAGGAACCCCCAAAGTTGTATTGGACATTATTTGGGCCCCTACCTTGGGGCGCTGCATGTCCTAACGGACCCGACTTTCGCCAACTGCTGCTCCCCCGAGCTCCCTCAATCCAAGACTCTCTGGTTCTTAGTAGGGAATGGGGAATGGATCCCCATGATAGTCCCTGAAGGTCTCCTATAGTAGTCCCAATAACCCATTCCCCCATTCCTTACTAAGAACCACCTAGAAGAAGGCTCTCGGAATTTGGGATCGAGGTCTGGCTCGCTTGGAACCCGTCGGAAAACTTCACCGGGAAAGATACCCAGATGGGTTTAGAGTTTAGGGTTTAAGGTTCAGGGTTTAGGGGTGACTTCGAACGTTTCAGATGCCAAAACGCCTGCAAAACAACAGGCGGCATGACTGAAGGATCATGGGTAATACGACGGCAGTGATGCAGAAGGCTATAAGTGCAGAGGCTCTAGCTATCTTTGCTTTGAGCAGCCGACTTCCGGGGAGGGTAACCTACAAACCACTGCCGCTGACCCTTCACATGACTGAACCCTAAACCTTAAACCCAA